AACCATCTCTAGTGCCTTGTTGATCAACTACTAGATATGTCTTAGGAATAAATGCCGCTGATACTTCTATTCATAACAATGAAACATACGATTCAGTGACTCTATAATTACAGTTATTCTTTTAGATATCACTATATCTATAAAAATAAAAAAATCGAATATCTAACCGTTATAAAGATTCTTACCAAGCAAGGAAAATCAGTTGCGATCATAATGAATAGGATGTCATTGGCTTAAGACGATACTCTTCCGGGAAAAAATGATATACAAATAGTATGGTGTATTTAAATAGGGAAAATAATCTCTTAAAGACGACCCAAAGCTCGGAAGAAGCAAAGAAGTGACCACGGCAAGACTTATCCAAAAAGTTGAAAAATTGTTATCGACGATGCTCGGCTAAAGAAGAAAGCATTCGCAGAAACGTTTGTCCATACAACCATTTTTAAAATTATACACGATCATCTTCACTTTACCAAGATCAGAGCAAGAGGGGTGAATGTTCTGACATCCATAAGTTGTGTTTTGCGTCAGTTGCCCTTGCATAAAAAAAGTTTCGATATTTTTAATCACCCATCCCACAGACGAGATCTGACCCCGAGGGATTATCATTTGTTTTCAAAAATGACGAACAGCTGAGGTGTACTTTCGGCGTATTTTGAAGATAAAGAGAAATAAATTTTGATGAAAGTATACAATAATTAATTGAAAAATATGAAAAATGTATCCATCTTGTAGGTGAATATACTTAAACAGAAAAACGAATATTTTTCCATTCCTAAAAGAAATGTTGTAAGTCAATATGTGGATACGTATAAGTTGTTTCTCCAACCCATCTGACCCAGACGATTTATATGTACTGAAGGTTTTGGCTGCTCGGCTAAATTAGTCTACTAAATATGTCAATTTTCCTTATAGCATCTGAGAGTTGGCCGAGAAGCGAGTATCCTATAAAAACTCTATGACTTCGTCGCGTGATATTGTGCAATATTCATTCTGCCTTCGAAGAAATGCTATAGGGTTTACCTGTAGTTAATAAAAAAAATTTTATTCAAATAACATTTCTTTAGGGATTTGTCTTTATATTATTACACTTGTTTTCTACCTTATCTTCTCATTTATTGCTTAACTATGCTCTTTTCCATCAGGCTCTTTAACTCTTAAATGACTTCTTGCTATAAAATAATTTACTGGCATTTCTATATAAAAATAATAAAAACTTTGAATCTTCATGCTCAAGCGCTTTAATTGCGCTTACACTTGTTAAGGGCTCATTTATGTCCTTGTGAACATTAATCTTTAAATAAAAGCGCAAATTACAAATTTTTATGTATATGCTAAAAGCAGATTTAATGACGTTCAAGCCACTAGAGTTGGTTGCAAAAAAAAAAAAAAAAAAAAAATGAAAATATGTATGTATTTAAGTGGCTGCATTGTGCAATTGAGATTAATTTTATGCGTTATTTGCTCATTCGCTATTAGTGCGGTTCCTTAGAAGGATTTATTTTGAGAAGATTGTATTTTACATGAGTCAACTCATATGGGGCGTTCCATGAAATCAAAGGGTAAGAGAATCCCGTGTACCTAAAATTTGTGAGAAAAAGAGTAGTTTCAATTATGTGGAAATAAGTAAGGGCAAGTATTAATTCCTTTCGAATTTTTATTTGCCGTCACTCACAGGTTATTGATCAACGAATATCCACCCCGATTTTTTGCCCAAAAATAGTCCACAAATATTGTGAAGCAATTCTGCGGAAACATTTTTGATATTTAAACAATGGCAGCAAAACAAATAAAAATAATAAAATATGCACATAAACAAAAGATTTGCTCTTCCCCACATTTAGCAACAATTTTGTATTGTTTTCAATTTTTTCTTTTATTTTTTTAGTTACAAATTATTTATTTTTTAAGCCACCACGTTCACTATTAAAACACTGTGTAAGGTGTGATTTATCAGCTTTTTTTCTTATGCTTGATATTTACAGGTGCGCCCTCAACCACCATCAGGTTTGTCGCTTAAGTCTTTAGTGTTTTCTCTACATATTTGTTTCTTAGTATTAACTGCTCATGGAGTAAAAACTTTTTTAAATATTTTTGGCAATATAAATTTAGGAAAGTAAGCGTAAAATCCAAATTTTACACAGTTATGTAAGCGTGTATTATGTAGCGGTAAATTAGTCAAGAAACGAAAACCACAAGGAAAATAATTCTACTTTTTGCAAAGTCATATCACAACGGGGAAACATATATTGCTTGGAAATAGCTACCATCGACTGTCAGCGATTTCAACATTCATAATTAGCGTTGCAGTAGCATGACACAATAAAATAAAATAATAACGCTAATTAAATACAAAATTAAAGAGAATGAAATAAATATAACGCAAATAACATGAAATAAAACTTAAAAAAATAAACAAAACGAAGAATAGAGATCAACAGCAAAATATCTAAATATAATATTAAATCAAATTAATAATCGGTTGAAATAAAATGTAAAAAAAATAAAAAGATAAGTAAAGAATTCAATAAAATATAGTATAATTTTTAAAAATATGATAAAGTATATAAACTAAAATAAAAAAGTTTACAAAATTAAAAAAAAAAAAACAAAATTAAGTAAAAAACATAAAATGAAGAAATTATAATATTTTAATACTTGAATAGCAAAATAAAAATAAATAAAATTAATTGAAAGAAAATAAAATTAAATTATTAATAAAAATAATAATATAATTAAAATAAAATACAATAGAACAAAGCAAAATGAAATAATTTAAGAAAATTTATTTAAACTTAAATAAAAGTTAAAATATGTAATAAAATAAACAAAATGATGTAAATATAATAAATATAAACGTAAATATAAATTTAAATATAAATATAAATATAAATATAAATATAAATATAAATATAAATATAAATATAAATATAAATATAAATATAAACATAAATATAAATATAAATATAAATATAAATGAAATAGATCGAACAAAAAAAAAAAAACAAATAAAATAAGCTAACAAAATAAGAAGCTATAAAATATGAATAAATAAATATTTAATTAAAATAAAATAATAAAAACATAAGAAGATTTAAAATAAAGTGAAGTCAAATAACAATTAATGAATAAAAATTGAATGGATCAAGCGATTTTAAATGAAATAAATTAAAATTAAATGAAATAAAATAAACTATTAAAAATGTTATTTAAATGAAATTATTATTACGGAATAAAATAAAATAAAAATATAACATAAAATAAAATCATTGAATTAAATACTAATTAAATAAAATAAATAAAATCTCATATAAAATAAAATAAAATAACCCGAAATTATTAATTGTAAAATTACGCTGCAATACAGTAGTTTATTACTATATTGAAAAAAAAAAAGAAATATTAAAAAGATAGCCAACACTGGAATGACCAACCAATGAGTTTGCAGAAAAAAGGCAAAATGTGGACTTTTTGGACTTTAATCAACTTAGAGATAACTGTAAATGTGTTTAATTTTTAGCCTCGAATTTTCAAGCCATCAACAGCCATTTGGCGACATTTATGATCATGTACAAATGCAAGTGTATGAATTTTATAAATAAATACTATATTTTTCCTGCTCAAAACGGCTATCTTTATATTTCAGTTTCTTGTCTGCTTACTTCTCAGCTAAGTTGCTTACTAAGTTGCTTTAGTAAGATGTTTTCTTAAAATCGTATGGCCTTACATTTGATGAAATATTGATTTTAAAGATTTTTAATATATATACATACATGCGCATAGATAAGCGTGGCGTCTGACAGAAAAATATTTATCTCACAGTCAAACAATTTAAATTTTTTGTCTACTTTGATTTGTTGCCCTAATTGAGCCAATATTTTTGTTCGTTTTTATGGCATCAATTGCCGCAACTGATATTTTGTATAAATAAAGTGTAGAGCATTTAGAGTTGACCTTTTAGCCAGCTTAGTGGTGTTTTAAAGCGTCAATGGCGTTTATAATACTACTGAAGATATTATTTTTTTTCTTTTTCTTTTAAATGCCTTTTCTATTGCATTCCGGTAATTGCTTATATTTGTTGCTGTGTTTTATTTTATATTATTAAACTATTTAATTATTTTATTTTTTTTATGTTTCGGTTTATTTAATTTAATATTATTTGGTTTACTTTTTTTTGTATATTTATTAATTACATCTATTTTAATTTATGTTATTGTTTTTTATTTATTTTATTTTATTTTGTTTACATATTTATATATGTAGGATTTTTAAATAATATGTCAATCGCATTTCAAACCTGATTAATAAATTAGTTTTCAAATTACCAAAATTAGACGGTTATAAATCATATCAATTCAAATTAAAGCTTAATAGCACAATTAACTAAAAGTAAATCACCGTCACCATTACAGTGGTGGCTAAAATCCGCTAACAGTGCAATCAAACTCACTACTTATGCACAACAATTCACGCGAAAGACTTAAACGAGCAACTTGTTTTCCTAAAGCAACAGCAACTACAAGCAAATCACAGCTACTATCCAGCGAAGAGAGCAGTAAGTTTACTCCAACTCTTTTTGAGCTACTCATGCCAAGACTCAACAGTTCTCTTATGGCTATGACAAAGTAAAAGCAATAAATATAATAAATTGCGGTAAAGCACCTGTCTTTGCATAATTGTAAGATGTTTTTTGTTATTATTATTGTTTTACTCACTACTGTTGTCCTCCACCCACCACTTGCTCTCAAACGCAAGACATAGCTGATACAGCCACAAAAACAATACTTCACCACACTCTCAGCTGTTACGTGCCGATTTGCTCCCCACAGTGACTGCAGCAACTTCGTATCTGACTTTTTTTTTTGCTTTTTTCTTGTTTTTCTGTGCTTTTTCTTGCGCTTTAACCATAGTGCTTGCGGTTTGGTAAGCCAAGTAGTAAGCGAGTAGCTGGTGTTGTTATTGTCTTTACAAACTCTTGGCCAAGTTAAAAATCTTCACTTGCCTCATCAAACGGTTTGCAGACGTTGAGTGCGCTACACACGCTTTAATGTTACGCGGTCGGTGGACTTTTGAGAGAAATATCGGTGCGAAAAATATCGAGTTACAAATGTTTGAGGAAATTGTCGGAAAATTGATAAATACGAAATATATTTAAAAAAAAACATATATTTAAAATATACAAGAAACAGAAACTTGCAAATTGATGCTTGTGAGTATTTTGTAGGATATATAAAAATTATGCAATAAAGAAAATAATATATAATAGTGGACTGGTGATATCTAACGGATTGAATAAAACTGTTGTGTGCAAGTGCGAAATCAAATATGAACCAAAAATTGCTTGCTGATTTTCAAAACTATATCGATTATTACAGAAAAGTGACAAGAACTTTATTCGAAATATAGAAGTGCTCACAAAAAAAGTTAACACAAATTTAAAAAAGCGGTGCAATTAAATATATTTGAAATCCCCCAAAATATCGGAATAAATACATATTATTTGCCTATCTCGAAAAAACCAAATATAAGCAACTAAAAATTAAAAAACCAACTATCATAAACCTACAGTATTATTCAGTTTAAGTTATAATTCAAACATAAGTACTAAGTCAAAAAATTAATTTAATAAATGAAAGGAAAAAATAAAATTAAAAATAAAGAAAATAAAAGAAAAGAAATGAACTTATATAAGAGAAATTAAATAAAAGAATTAAAATAATTAAAATGAAGGGAAATAAAATGAAGTAAAACAAACTAAGTAAAATAAACAAAATAAAATAAAATGAAGTGAAACAAAATAAAATAAAATAACGAGAATTTAAATTGAAAAAAATAAAATGGAGCGAAATTAAAAAGAATGAAATAAAATAAAATAAAGTAAAACAAAATAAATAAAATAAACAAAATAAACAAAATAAAATGAAGTGAAACAAAATAAAATAAAATAAGAGAATTTAAATTTAAAAAAAAAATAAAATGGAGCGAAATTAAATAGAATGAAATAAAATAAAATAAAGAAGAACAAAATAAAATAAAATAAAATGAATTATTTTATGTTTCATCGAATTTGCCATAAATATTGAATTCAATTAAACACAATAAAATAATGTAATTTAAAATAAAATAAAATCAAATAAAAAATATAAAAGGAAAATAAAATAATGTAAAATTAATTTAAGTTTACTTTAGTTAAATTAAACTAAAATATTTGGTAATAATCTAAAAAAATTATTACCAAATATTTTAGTTAAATTAAACTAAAATAAATTGAAATAAAATATAGAAAAAAATAAAATAAAATAATTAAGCCAATATAAGTGAAATAAAATAAAATGAAATGAATTATTTTATGTTTCTCCAATTTTCGTCACAAATATTTTATTCAATTAAACAAAATACAATAAAGTAATTTAAAATAATATAAAATAAAATAAAATGATGTAAGATAAAATAAAACAAATAAAAATAAAAAAAAGTATAAAATAAAATTAACTTAAATTAAATTAAATCAAATTAAGCTAAATTTAATTAAGCAAGAAACAAATAAAAAATTTTAAAATGTGAAATAAAACAATATAAAATTAAATAAAAAAAAAAATAGAAATAAAATAAATAAAAAATAAATAAAAAATTAATAAAAAATTAAAATGTGTAAAACGAAAATAAAATAAATTAACTTAAATTGACTTAAATTAAATGAAAAAATTAAAATAAAGTAATGTAAAAAAATATTAAAAAGATAAATTGAAAAATAAAATTATTTTATGTTTCTTCAATGTTTGTCCTAAATATTGGATATTCAAATATCTAATAGATGTGGTGTTCGACTGTTAGTTTTAAATGATTTCTTCGTAAAGCTACCAGAATTACAACATTTGTTAAATACCATAATATGTAATTTAATTTTTTTATGCCGAAAAAAAAGTATGATTCAAAAGTTTCCTTTAAAATTCATCATGAAAACAATTTTCTCTCGAAATGAACAGTTTAAGTAAAAAATCTTCGCAGTCAGCACTTTCATTCTCATTTAACCAAATGAAATGAAAGCGAAATTGAAATTAACAAAAGAAACATTTTAAAAACATCATATAAAAAGCAAAGAGAAAAATCAACAATCAAAAAACCTGAAGTACCAATGAGTGTTGTTAAAATTTACAGCAGCCAAATAATATGAGACATAAGCACGCAAACAGACAAATAGACAAACAGAAATCGAACACGAAAATTCAAAAGCGAACATACAAACATACATGCATATGTATGTATGCATTCATATATTAGAAATTAGAAAATGCACATTTGAATTTGTTATTTTTAACTACTGTTAAATAGCCACTCGAGTGCTTGTAACACATTCAGTTGCATGCAGGCAGACATGCAAATGTTATATGTATACGAATGTATGTGTATGCATGCATTCAAAAATGCGTAAAAATATTTGTAGATTTCTTACGTCTTCTTTTGACTAATTTACTTAATAATATTTAAGGAGCGAAGAAATGCTTTTGAAATAAGCATACCCAAAAAGATTTATTGAGGATTACAACATTCATATGTTTGTACTTGTACATTACGAAATACAGCTCTTTTCTCTTAAAATTCACATTTGCAGACTTTCTCCAGATATTTAGACAAATTCGCTAAACACATATAATTTTGTCTTTGTTTAATCAATATTTGAGAACCCTTCACATATGCATGCCATTACTTTGATTACTAAAAAATATTTATATATATCACATGCATTTAATTCTCCTCAACTGAAAGAATTTTTTAAATAGCGCCATCTTAATTTAAAATGGTTAATTTGATGGAATAAGACCAAAGTAAGCGGTACGAGATACTTAAATGATTCTTCAGATGATTATTTCAGTGAAATTGCGTGATCTAAATAAACTTTCATTATTATTTAAATTATTTTGTTTTATTTTATTTTCCTTATTATAAACAATTATAATTTAATTATATTTAAGGTTTATTTAATTTATTTTTTTTTTTGATTTTTGTATTTTTTTTAAATTTTATTTTACATTATTTTATTATTATATTTATTTTTTTAATATTCCTTATTTTTCTTTAAGTTATTTTTTATTTTAATTATTTTTATTTAATTTATATATTGGTTGCATTACTAATATTTTGTATTATTTATTTTATTGTATTTTATTTTACTTCATTTTTTGATTTTATTTTGTTTTAATTTGCCTTAATTTATTTTCATTTTTTATATTTATTTTATTTATCCATTTTTTTATTTGATTTTATTACATTCTACGTTATTTATTTCATTGTACTTTATCTTATCTATTTATCTAATCAATTTATTTTTTTAAATTTATTTTTATTTGATTGAAAGAAATTAATTTTTTGTTTTTATTATTTGCTATCATTTTATTTGACTTTATTTCGATATACTTTATTTAATTTTTCATTTTATTTTATTTTATTTTATTTTATATTATTTTATTTTGTTTTATTTTATTTTATTTTATTTTATTTTACTTCTTCTAAATTTTTTATTTTTTAATTTAATTTTATTTAACTTTATTTAATTTATTGATTTAATTTATTTTATTTTATTTTATTTTATTCCATTTTTTCTAACAATATTTGTTTAAAACCGGTACCGCACTTTTCCACTTTCGAATTGTCGGAACGCATCGATAATCAAGATGCGATAACAACAACTTTTAATTTAACAAGCAAAAGATTGCGCGTGGCAAGCTTTAAGTTGCAAGCAGCGCTCACTCTTTGCGACGTTAAAATCACGCTTCAAAAATGTTAGCCGGTGTATATTACCATGAAATAAAGAAAAATAAAAATTATGCAGATGTGTATGTGAGTATAGATAAAATTATTTACGGTAGGCTCTATGAGAGTTCGGCGACCGTTTCGCCGAGTTTGGCGCCACATTTAGTTGTTATAAGATTTTTCATGATTCTTTTTTCTTTATGCATAAATTTCCATTTTTTTTTCGGATTTTATCAGTTCATCTGAATCTTTGTTGACAATCATAAAACACAAACAAAAAGTGCTTATGCGTATGAAATAGCTTCCGAGAAGGCGGGATATTATATATGTATGCGTGTAAGTAACGCCGCAAACGTGACGACAGTGGGGGAAAAATCAAAAACTAAATAAATAAAGCAACTTTTATAATATAAAAAGCATTAATCAAAACAAAAAATATTTAAATTAATTACACGCCGAGTAATCAACTCGACGTGCCTTAAAAAAGTTGTGAAAAATACTCTTAATAAATTACCGACAAGTGTAAGTACGCGTTTCAAAGTGACTTGTTAAACGCTCGTTAGTGAAGCGAGAGAAAAATATTTAAAATCAAAATCATCACGTACTCAATTCGCACGACCTCTGAACTGGCCAGCTCACGGCATCTCCGAGTGCCACATAATATTACGCCACCGCAATAAGTCGTTACTTGTTGCTTTCGTTTTTGTATCGTTTTTCGTTCCTTGCTAACCGCTTTTGATTTTTTTTTCTTCTTTTTTTTATACTTTACTTCGTATGCTTTTTTGTTCATTTCAATTTCTGCGTGTGCTTATCTGCCACATCTTTGAAATTGTTTTGCACATACTGCCATATCAACAACAACAACTAAAACAGTGATTTCTTACGCAATTTTGTGAATGGCCGAACAGGCATCAATTACAATACAATCAAAAGCGTAAGATCAACAGCGATAACAATTACATCAACAAGCAAATCAAATTAAACCAACAACAAAAACAACGGCGACACATACAAAATGTGTTCGAAAAATCAAATGAGTGTTCTCATGGAGAAATTAAATACGGTAAGTGGGTTTGAGGGAATTTGAGGGTGTTGTTGGGTTTTAGGTAAAAAAAAATTATTAATTAGAGAAAATATCCTTTTGACTGAGCCGAAAATGATTTACTCAGAGCTTGGCGATCCCGACCTGGTTAATTGAGCCTGAAAATTTGACAGTTTTTGCCATTCGAATACAGATTTCCCGCTTCTGAGAGAAGTAGTGTGTATTGGTTCTCACTTCTTGCTCGGTATGGGTCTTTCCCACAACCTGCAGTCCACATCTAAGTATCTGATTTTATGATGAAAACAACAGTAGCAACAATATATGCATGAGCTATAAGGATTTGGGTTCCAGCCGTGGCCAGATTAACTTCTAAAATGTTCATTTCTAAATACAGTCTCCGCTCAGTAGGTAATATTTATTAATCAGATGACATCATCCTTTCCATAATAAGAGTAGATCCTGACCCGCTTGAAGTACCTTATTTTGAGTTGATGAAAATTAGCTCGTAGCAAACTTTCAAAGTCATTATTTACTTTATTCTCCGAGGAATGCCGTGGGAAGCATATCAACATTGAAAAAATCACAGCGAGTCAACTCTGCTCTTTGTTTTGCAGAATGCTACCAGACGTCGAGCCTTTTCTTCGTTTGCGAGACATATCATGAGCGAAGTACAAAGCTCTACGGACTCCATACGGTAATACTCCATACGTTAAGTCAATTATAGCTCGAGAGTCATAGAGCTCATAGAGTCGAGTGATTCTTTTATTAATTCTCCACCCAGGAATGGTGTTGTTTGAGCTCGGCATTCATCTATTGCTCACAAGGAACTATGCCAATGTCGCAAAACATTTCTCTTCATAACTCCTAACGCCAAATCACCACATATTGTCGTCGTCCACCATACAGCAGAACGGGAACCATGAGCTACTTGTAGAGTTTGGTCTTCGTTCACCGAGAGAGGACTTTACTTTTCTATACAATTCTGTCCAAAGTAGCACCTGTTGGCAGGAGTGATTCAGCGTTTTAGTTCCAGGCTTGCGAAGATCCATTGCACTGGATTCGATTTTGAAAAATATTGTAGGACTCGGTCATAAGTACATCCGCATATGGGAACTCTATGAGACTTCTAAGTCAGTATGTCAGTCAGTCAGTCAGTCAGTCTTTGACTTTCCAACCAAAGCCAGCTGACTCAAGATGGTCACGATGCACGTGATCTCGTAGCTATGGGCGAAGTTGGACGCAAAAAAATCGGAACACCTAAAAGGATAAGACCGGTTCTCCATTAGCATAACGACGGGCATAAAAACTGGACACTGTTTAATGGGGCTTCACGGGAAAAGAATAGGCTATCACTCTAATGATTTTTGCCGCAGCTTTAGGGGCGAAGAAGAGGAGGAAACTATCGAGCACGACCTCCTTAAAACTCCTTGGGAAACATTTCTTCTTCGATTGTTTTGCTGAGATAGCTTCAGCGAATCTTGGAAACCTCGTAACCTTTATAAGGAATACGAAATGGTTCAATCATCTGAGAAGCTGAAGGAAGAAGCTTTCGCGGTGTCACCAAGGGGCTATTGGTATACGCAACGGCGCATCAATTCAACTCAACTCATCGTTTGAAACCCACATTGAATATTGTTCTTCCAAAATCTCGTTCTGACTTGTGAACATGAAGTATCTGAACTTTTAGCCTTCTAATGCAAAGAAAAATTGTATCACAAGAAGACTCGATTTCACAGCTACAGAGCTTTCCCTATTCTTTGGTGAACTCCCACTCACAAAGATTTTCTAACTAAAATACTGCTCTAGGTGTTTGGTCTGACATATTTTTGGTTTTCATTGGTCTATATATGCAAATAAAGATTTCCCTCAGAAACGGACACTAAACCAACTGCCTAAAAATATTTAAAGCTTTGAGAATTCAATTTTGATGTTTTGATTCCTCACATCCATCACTTCCGCTTCCACGAAACCACACGCAAAGGAAAGAATACACTTGCATATGTGTGTGGAAGTACATCCGCCCGGACATTAATCACAATTAATTTGCAATTTTGTACATTTTACACGCGCTCATTGAATTATTGCGGATGCTCGGCCATTATGAATGTACAATTTGCGAACGGAAAAAAAAAATTGAAAAGAAATTTCAAAGGAAAACTAAACAAGCGATAACGAGGTGTAATGTAAATATCAAAATAAAAAGAGTTAAGTGCATGTTGCTCGTAATGCCACAAAACCACAGGTATGCCATGCCAATTATGTGTGTGGAAACAAAAAATCCAATAGTATTTTTTTACAAGCGTGTAGTAGCGGGAGTATACATATATGTATGTATTGTATATAAAAATATATATTTCCCTATTTGTAAAACTTCAAGAAAAACTTTGCTAATCCACCCAAAGTATTAACTTCCGCCTGTAGAGATTCCCCAGAGCCTTAATATTATATAATATTTTATCCGTTTCAAATAGCCGCCACAGCCGCCTTTCGTGAATAACTCATAAACTGGGCTCATAAATTTCCAATAGATTTTACACTTGATTCATTAAGCAGATACTAGTGTGCATGTATATGATTACGAGATAACAGTAAATCACAACCTAGCATTTTTACTGCTCCTATATTATTGGCGACTTATAGCCGCTGAAGCGATTTTCGAACGAGCTCATACTCCGATTTGTGGTTTTTGCGTCTTGATGTTTTTCCAACAAACAGCTGGATCTGCAGCTCATACTAAGCCGCCTCAGAACGTCTGATGGTTTTTTATATGGAGCTTTTTTTTCATGCCAGAAATACACTCGGTGAGCTTAACGTTCCCTGCCGAGAGGCGACCGCAGCTAGAAAATTTAAAAAAAAAATATTCTATAATTTTTAGATATTGGTCCGACCAGGAGTCGAACTCTGACCTTCCGCCAGTTATTATAAGTATTATAAATACTACTAAATACATACAAAATCTACTACTATTTATAGTTCATTTGAATTTTGTGTGAAAAATATTAGCAAAGTGAAATTATTATATTTTACTACATTTTTTTCTACTCCTAAATATACTCCCATTTATACTACTTAATTTTTTTGGAATTATAATATAATAATAATAATTAAATAAAATATTATCCTTGCCAAACCACTAAAGCTACTGCAGTTTCACTAAGATTTTTCAAAAATTAAGATTAAGATTTGAAAATCATTATTTCTCAATAATAAAGCAAATATTATTATGCTCGAAACTTTACTAGCTACAACTACTATATTACTATTTTGTGGCAAGTCACAAAAAAATTCTTTTACTTTTGATAGTACTACTATAAACTACTACTTTTTGCCAAATTATAATAATTACCACTACTACTACTTCTATACTACTACTCCTACTCCTAATACTACTACTCCTACTACTACTACTACTACTACTACTACTACTACTACTACTCCTACACTAGTTCTATATTACTAATACTACTATATCTACTACTAAGTCTACCATAGAATAATTACTACTACTACTATTTCTATACTACTACATCTATACTACTACTCCTACTCCTAATACTAGTACTCCTACTACTACTACTACTACTACTACTACTACTACTACTACTACTACTACTCCTACACTAGTACTATATTACTACTACTACTATATCTACTACTTAGTCTACCATAGAATAATTACTACTACTACTACTCTACTAATACTACTTCTAATACTATACTACACTACTACTCTACTACTATACTACTACTACCACTACTACTATTACTTTCTATACTATATCTACTACTAAGTCTACTATAGTTACTAGTAAGTTTTTTTAAAAATTAAGTAATGCTTAAATATGTTTTCTCTTTTTTTAGCAATAATAAAATAATAAAATTGCTGATACTTAAACTGCAATAGTACTATATACATATTTCCACTACCGTTTATTTTTTTGCTAAAAAAAATTAATAAAGTTTTGGTGCAATCACGAAAACCGAGAAATTTCTTTATCTACAGACCTATTATAAATTTTATTCCTAGATCTAAATTTGTACTACCAACTAGTGTATAATATTTGATAAATATACAAAAAACCTTTTTACTCCAACAACTGCTACTGATGCTACTTAATCTACTACATTTTCCACTACCTTTTCGAAACTTCATCGGAAGCACAGAAACAACATTTTGTTTTACTAAATCGATGTTTACTTTTGAAATTAATAAAACTACTACTATTTCTACTACCGAATTTTTTTGAAAAATATTTCAAAAAGCACACTATTAGGGAAATAAAAGAACTTACGTGTATTAACTCAAACTATTATCATTTTTACTGCTACTAAATTATAATACTAAATTTACTGCATTTTCTGCTACTTTTCCAAATTGTATCAAAAGCTCAGATATAAAATTTTCTTTATCGAACAATTGTTATATTTTCACTACTAAAACTACTACTATTTTATTAATACTTTTTGCAAACAAAATAAACTAAAATTAAAGAAAAAGAGATTTATCTGGAGATAAAAATGGCATATTTTGATGTGGCACATTGGGTGGGTACATTGTTATTGCGTGTCTTGATGCCAAAACGCGTTGATTCCTCACGAAATTGTTGTAGAATTGAAGACTCAACAAACAAAGAAAAAACTGCCTTTTCACTTTCAAGCAACTCAAGCAAAACTATATACATATTTATATATGTAAGTTTATAAGTATACGTATAAGTAGTGTGGCGCCATCAAACATTGTTGGTCGCAGAGAGAAACAAAATTAGTAAAACAATTTTATGCGTACTATGCATGTTGCATGTCAGCAATCAATAAAAAATACTAATGTTAAAAATTAAAAAGCAATAAATAATGTAAAAAGTTAATAATATTTCAATATAAAATAAATCAAAAAAAATATTTAAGAAATATGCTTTCAACATTATCAAGTGTGGCATGCACCTTGAAAATTGGCAAATACATTAAAAATTTATTAATAAAAATAAAAAATTTTGAAATAATAATAATAAAAAAAATATTAA